TGATTGTTGGAGGGAGAAAGGAAAGTTGGAGGGGGAGAAGAAGGGGTGTATGAAAGCGACAGGTTGGGATTATGATGAGTTGTGTTTAGGTGGGGTTTTTTTATTATTATTATATTATTATTATTATTGCAAATATTCAGTATATAAGTGAATGTACAAAATTGAAAAGGAAAATGAATAAAACATTTGAAAGCAAAAAAAAAAAGATGGAGTGTTAAAGCGTGAATTAAAAGTAAATAAATCAAAACTGTACTTGTTCCAGTTGAAGTTGTTAATCCATTTGTAAATCCTAGATCCACTTCAATATTTTTCTGTCTATACATCTGTAGAATTAATCTGTCAGTAAGTCCTATAATATGTTTTGCTGTCTCTAATCAATTCTTCTGTGTTTGCTATGTCTTATGAGAATTATGGTTCTTATTATTGTTATATTAGTATCTTTGGAATATATAAGCCAAGGGAGGAAAGATTCTGTCGTCTCTCCAGAGTTGATACATACATATTAAAATGACCTAAGATTGTTTGTTGATGTCATTAGCTGTAATTTGATCTAATTACAGATGTGATCAGAAATATTTCCTTGATTGTATAAATATAGGTAAAATGTACTTACTCTGGTTTTGTTAAAGAAGTATGAAATTGTAAAGAAATAGGTTAATAAAGTGTTGAAACAAATACTAAACATGAATTTCTCAAATTATCTTATTTCAGTGCCAAAGATGGTTGTGCATTGCTGGATATGGTCAAAAGTGACTGACAAAACTCAGAGATTTTAAACATTTTTTGGGGGGAAACTCTATGAAAATGCATATAGCAAAGAATTTTCTGAAGAAGTCGCTTTACATTCCTAAATAACCTAAATAATGATGATTACTCCATCAAAGGTATGTGGCTATTATTATTGTTATTATTTACTGCTCATCACTCATCATCATTGTCTGGACTGTGGCCTAGAATTATTTGCATACATATGTAAATGATTGGTTTCAGGGGCAGCGGTTCATATATGCTGTTTGTTTTTTTGTTTTTGCTTTTAAAAAGGGGTTTAAGAGCAAAGAAATAAATCAGAGAATTTAGCTAAACATTTACATCTGTTGTTATTTATAACACTGAGAGTATTGAGTCAAAGGATCTTTTAAACCATGTCCTCATAAAAGTAAGATGTGTACCACAAACACCCCAAGAATTAATCCTTTCATAAAATCAATCATCTATTCACTGTGGTCAATAAGAGATGTGGCTGCCCTGTAAGCCTTGGGAAATTATCTCAAAAGAGTTTTGTTTTATTCTTCAGTATATCTTCATTTCTTCCTCCATTTAGCTTCAAAATTAAACCTGGTCTCTGTTGTTGTTGTTGTTGTTGTTGTTGTTGTTGATGATGATGATGATGATGATGATGATGATAAGAAAAAAAACATAGCTTCATATTACATATCTAGGCTGTTTCCTGAATCAACTCATTCCATTAAGTAATAGAGCTGTGCAAGTGTTTAGAGATTACTTCACTTTTTGACTATCATACAACTGAAACTGTAAATGATTCCATCCTCTTGTTTCTAAGAGCAGCAATCACTGTGTTTCTCTCTGCTTCACAAACTCTTCTCAACACCCTCCAAGATTTTGAAACACTAAACATAGACTGTGAAATCACACACATACACATAAACCATTATACCTATTGGCACTTGCAAAAAAATAAAAGAGGCACCCACTTTTGCAAATACCAGAAGTGCCAATAGAACTTTGAAGTCTTCTCACAGAAACTTTCATCTCTTAGTAAAGACAGAATGTGATGTCAAGGCAGAAGCAACTAGTGAAAACAAAAAGGAAGGAACAGTAAAACCAGGAAAGCTAACTGCTCTAAGGCTAAGCTAAGATACCATGCACAGCATTATTGAATAATACAAAATATTCTGGGTTTAAAAAAAGATTGATTAGGTAAAAATTAATTAATGTTAACATCAGCATAGCTCTTTGTTTCTTGACTAACCTGGCTGAATATTACAGAGAAGTCTAGGCCAAATTTCATTAATTTACAATTTTTCTAAAATGTTCACATAGCTTGTATTATATTTATTGTATTTCATAAGCATCACTATAAAATTGAAAAGAAAATAACTTCTAGAAATGTCTGTAAATAAAAGAAAATTTTAATTTTATTTTATAAAAGAAAATTAAATATCTATTGCTATGTTTTTCAATTTTGCTTTATACACATAATTTTGATCAACAATGAATGTATTAACTCAATAATTCATTACAGCAAACAAAATACATTCTAAGCAATACGATACCTTTTTCTGTGAAAGAAAGGTAACATTTTTATAGGTGATATTAAAAATAGTCAGATCAGATTCTCAGCTGTATCTAAAGACTGAATTGCCATGCATAATTATATCATATTGTACATAATGGTTTTATCTGTATTTGTAATTACATACATACATACATGCATGCATGCATGCATGCATGCATGCATAAGAAATTGATCTTTCTACAAGTCAATTTTGAGACAGATATGTTAGGATCAAAGAACACAACAGTAACTATGATTTACAAGTAATATTTTTTGCAGGTACAGTTATTTGAACATTCAGAAGTGGAAAATCAGTCACATGTAACTGAATTCATTTTGTTGGGATTTGGAGAAGAGAAATTTCTTCATCCTCCTCTGTTCACATTGTTCCTTCTCATTTATGCTATTACTATGGCTGGAAACATCCTCATTATTCTACTGGTTGTTACAGATCATCACCTTCATACACCAATGTATTTTTTTCTTGGGAATCTTTCATGCTTAGAAATTTGTTGTAGTTCAAATATCTTGCCAAGAATGCTTTCCCATTTTATTACAGGGACTAAGACTATTTCAATCAATGGATGCTTTGTGCAAGAATTTGTATTTGGTTGTTTAGGAGCTGTAGAATGCTGTTTATTATCTGCAATGTCCTTTGACAGATATTTGGCTATATGTAAGCCATTATATTATGTCACCATAATGAATGGGAAGTTGTGTCTCCTGTTGATTGCCATCTCTTGGATAAGTGGCACTTTTGCAAGCAGTTTGATAATTATCATAATGTCCAAACTCACCTTTTGTGTTAACAATAACATTGATCATTACTTTTGCGATACACTTCCAGTTATAGAACTATCTTGCAGTGGCACATACGTATCAAAATTATCTCTCTATATTGTTAGCTCTGTAGTCACTTTTCCTCCCTTTACATTGACTTTAACATCATACATTTATATTATTTCAACTATAATGAAAATCCAGTCTACCACAGGGAAACAAAAAGCATTCTCCACCTGTTCGTCTCATCTTTTGGTAGTCACCATTTTTTACGGCACATTGATAAGTATCTATGCAATACCAAATGCCATAAAAGTTAATGGTCTTCATAAAGTGTTCTCTGTCACTTATACCATTGTAACCCCTATCCTTAATCCTATTATATATACTCTGAGAAATAAAGAAGTGAAAGTTGCCTTGAAAAGAATCTTGTCATTGATTTTTGTTCAAATTCATATGAAAAGTCAGAATTGAAAACTATATTAGTTTCCCATGCAAGCTATCAAAAAGTTATTTTTAATTGGTGGGTAATATGTTTCTATCTTATGGTTGCTATGTAAATATTTGTTATCTGTATTTCTGTATGGAATTGAATTGTATGTTCATTTGTAATGATAGCAGAGATTATGTATAAAATCAATAATAAAATAATGATAAAGTTAAAAGAAATAATTTATTTCATTTAATGTTATCTTTGTAAAGTTTGCACGTTCATCTAAGTCTAAATTGCATTTAAAATGCAACATTCCTATTAAACTTATTCATGGTTCAGTTCTTTACCAATCTAAAGAGCTATCTGCTTATTTCATCTCAGCTGCTCAATTGTGTTATCTTTGGAACACCTGGAACCATAGTAAGATTAAAGAATGGCAGAAATATATTGGAAAGGTATTTTGTATAAAATGCAAGTTGCATTCATGCCAAAAGAGTAAGAAAGATAGTGATGGAGCTGGAAAGATATTCAGAAGTACATATATTTCTCATGGGGTTTTCTCATATTGCAATGAACATATTTTTTACTCTTTAACCCAGACTGTATAAAATAGAGTTTTATATTTTAATATTTTATAAATAGATAAATGAATCCCATATTTTATTTTATTTTAAAAATAGCCTTTTGATGTAGCAGATAGTTTCCCTTTCATTACTACTTCATCCAGAGCATTAATTTAGACTAGATTAGATTAGGCTAGGCAATTTTTTGTCTGGCTGCTTAAATCAAAACTGATTAAATGTCAAGCACAATTATTACAGTTCTCTGTAATAATATTTATTAAGAGTAACAGAATGGGGTTGTGAAGATTCCAGAAAGAGAACATTCAGTTTAAACCTAATGTACATCTATATACATTGTTTTAAGAAAAAGTTTCTTGAAGGAGGCAAGCCTATTCACTGATAAAAGCTGGAAATTGAAAACAAAAGCTGTTTTGTTATATCACATTCTTCTGTCTTTATCACACTGGCTTTTTATAGACTTCTTATAATTCAATAGAAAATGAAAGCTTTAACATTTAAAAATGACTGAATCTTTTTCTGCTTATTATTATTATCATGTAGTTAATCTTTGGTGAGATTCACAGCCTTTGGGGCTGGTTGGTAGCTCAACAGCTCGAGTCCTAACCAAGGACCTAGGAACTGTTAAGGTAACGTCGAAGGATATAAACTGTTCCAAGTAGGGTGGTTTTTTGTAGAAACAAAATGTTCAAGTCTGATAAATTTAAAATTATCAAATAGTGAGGTAGCCCTTTGAGTATTGCTCCAAGGGCTCCAATTACAATCAGGACAACACACAATTTCTTTTTCCACAGTCGCTCAACTTTAATTTGCAAGTCTCAGTACTTTGTGATTTTTTCTTGCTGTTTATCTTCAATTTGTGCATCTCCAGGTATTGCAATGTCAATGAACCATACTTTTTTTCTTTTCAATTATTGTTATGTCATGTGTGTTGTGGGCAAGTGACTGTCAGTCTGGATTCTGAAGTCCCACAAGATCTTGACTTTCTCATTCTCTAAAACCTTCTCAACCTGGTGTTCCCAGTGGTTTTTAAGGAGCTCAGGCAGGCGGGTGGACCCTCTGGAGCACCGTACCGGAACAGTATCTGGTGCTCCGGGCAGGCTCCAGTACACCCTTACTGGGGCGTACTGCCTGCAACTCACCATTGCTACATAATAACAATTCGATAATTTCCTTAACATTATGTGAAGGATGGAAAGGAACTAATAGAGTTTCAAATACAGGCAACTTCCAATTGCTCAGTACATTGACTTTCTGATTGAAGAGTCTAATATCAGAAGCACCCCAAATTTGAAGTCATGAAACACAGAATAATGGAGTTGGATGGGACCTTAGGTTGAAGTCTCCATGATTTCTAGTGTAATCCCAAGAATGTCCTCAAAGTCAGTGCCACAGTAAGATGAGTAGTATATAAATTTAATAAAGAAATAAATAATTTAGGCAATCTTATCACTTTAACAATATAAGCAGCTTAATTAATTTATTTCAATCATTGGTTTTAAACTTTTTTTTCTCTATGCCCCACCTAAGCATCTCTAAAATCCTGATGATTGCCCCCCCCATTACATATAATTCTTACTCAAAAAGTGAACTCTACTCACATGGAGGAAGCCTAAAAGGCCATTAACTTGGTTTAAACAAAGTTCAAATTGCCCCCATTAAAAATCAAATTACTCCTCTGTGGGGCGTGGGGCCCACATTGGGAGCCACTGATTTTAACTGAAATATTTGTTGATATCACTCCTCCAATATCTGAGAAGGTTAACATACTTCACACCAATAGTCTTTATTTTTGCAACTTATCTGACCAAAGATTTAAAGAGGAAGCAGTGATTTGGTCACAAACCTTCACATTATTGAAAAGTGAATAAAAAAAAATGGAATGATATAAGCATGGTTTATTTTAATTTAAATTAGATATTTTTAAATAAAAATCATATTTCCATTTTTAACTTTTATTTCCCAAAGGTAAAAATGTTTTTAAATAATTTACAATTATAAAGAATAGTGTACTCTCTTGGGTTCACCTCTGGAGAAAGAAGCTAATTAGATATTCTTCCATAGGTACTCCTAATATAAAATATAAATAAAATTTCATATCCAGTTAATTGTTGATGATTCCTGTCTCATTTATTTGTGCTTTGTTTGGAAGGAAAATAAAATTAAATGCAATTTTATTTTTTATTCATTTGTTAGAGAAATTGCTTTATAACTCCAGCTACAATGAAACTTATTCTATAATACAGGAAGAAATGAGATATTGGAAATAAAGATGCCCATAATTGTCTGCTCAGCCTATAAAGTTCCAGGAATGGATGATTCACTTTGAATGGTGTTACATTGAACTGAAAGGAAGAACAAGCACGATTGCAAATATGACAAAAATTAGATCTGGGCAAGGCAAAATAATGTAACTTAACCATAAATGGATATCATAATAAACCTTAAATGGATTACCTAATTAAAAGAGTTCTGAAGAAATTCTGCCTTAGCTCCTGAAATACTGGACTGGATACAGTATTTGCATTTTTATATTTGTCATGTCTATTCCATTTAAGGTATACACCTTTTTCCCCCTTCCCTACCCTACAAAGCATGCATGATGTTTTCATGTGTCTCCGTCTCTCTCCCTCCCTCCCTCTCTCTGTGTATAGTTTTCAGCAAGAACTGTCTGAATATGCAATTAATGGAAATTATAGATTATTTACAGTATATGTAAATTAATTGAATTTCTAAATGGTAGTAAAAATAAATTGAAAGATTAAAAATCTAGCAATAAATACTCGATGAAGAAAAACATTGAGGACAACCATAATTCTCAATTTCATTGAAGAATGAATCAGCATTATGGTTGCCCTCAAAAGGCCATCTGCATGTAAGACTATGTATCATATCAGTTTAGGAGTACATTATGTCTAAGTCTCAGTAGGAAGTCTGGATTTCTGGGAACATAAGGGGGCTGCGGGACACATGATGGTGTGGTGGTCAGTCTCTCCCAGCAGGCAGGTCATATGATAGGATGGTATTCAGGTGACTGGTCGACCCTTCTTCTGTCTCTCATCCCTCCCCCTCCCCTTTCCCTCTCTCTCTTTAATGAAATAATAATAAAGCCACCTTCTGATTCTTTTGCTGATTTGATGGTTTCTTTTTGCAACTAGAGCAATACATTATCTTTTGCTCTAGAAACAAACTCTCATACAAAGTATGTGTATAATAATTAATTCTTTATGACAATAGCATTACTAATTTTATACCATATGAATTTGGATAAAGATCACACTAAGTGCTTTGGTTTGTCTTGGTGTGTGTGTGTGTGTGTGTGTGTGTGTGTGTGTGTGTGTGTGTTATCAGTTCATAAAAAATTAAGAAAATCCACAATATGTTGGTATGTAAGTAAAAAAATTAATAAGGTTGTCTACATTTATTCTTTTAAGAGAATCGTAATAATTTGTTTGGAACAATTTCAGGAGCATATCAATCATGAAAAAAAATAAAAGAAAGATGAGTTAGGAGTCTATATTTGTTTCTTCTATTTTAATGTATTTTGAAAATAAAGGCAATATCAATATGATTTTCCATAGTTCTTTTATTTCAGGAAGAGTTATTTGAAACTACGGCATTAAAAAATGAGACATATATCAATGAATTCATTTTGCTTGGATTTGGAAACCATCAGATGTTAAAGATTTTTCTCTTCCTAGTTTTCCTTCTCATCTACATCGGGACCATGACTGGGAACCTACTCATTATTCTATTAATTGCCCTCGATCAACACCTCCAGACTCCCATGTATTTTTTTCTTGGAAGCCTTTCATGTTTGGAGAGCTGCTGCAGCTCAAATATCTTACCACAGATGTTGTCTAGCTTTCTTACTGGAAACAATATGATTTCATTTAAGGGCTGCTTTGTACAACATTATTTGTTTGGCTCTTTTGTATCTGTGGAATGTTACCTGTTATCTGCAATGTCCTATGATAGATATTTAGCTATATGCAAACCTCTCCATTATGTCACCATGATGAATGGCAGAACTTGTTTCAAATTGATAGCCTTCTCTTGGGTTAATGGTTTCATGGCAACTGCAGTAACCCAGTTTATCATGTCTCAATCAGCTTTATGTGATAATAAAATTGACCATTTCTTTTGTGACACCTTCCCAATCATAGACCTGTTTTGTGGTGACACCCATGCCTTCAAACTCTTTCTTTATACTTTAAGTTCCATATTCACTTTTCCACCATCTATATTAACTCTAACCTCATATGCTTTTATCATTTTAACCATAGTAAGGATGCCATCTAGTAGAGGAAAGCAGAAGGCATTTTCCACTTGTTCTTCTCATCTCTTGGTAGTCACTATTTTTTATGGCACACTGATGAGTATCTATGCAATACCAAATACCATAAAAGTAAGTGGTCTTCATAAAATGTTATCTGTTATCTATACCATCCTAACTCCCATGCTTAATCCTGTAATATATACTTTGAGAAACAAAGAGGTGAAAAATGCCTTCCAAAGATTTATTTCAGTTTTCTTTCTAAGAATTTATAGAAAAATCATATAAGCAAACATTTGAATGTGCCATTTTTATGCCATTCTACAGATGGAATTTCATTTTACATTTTCATAATGTACAAGAACTAGTTTTCATTTTTTGCTTAAAGTTATCCTGCTTTATTATTATTAAAACAGATGATCGGTGATTGTATTTTAGTTATTTTTAATTCTCTGTCTCTCTCTGTCTCTGTCTGTCTGTCTGTCTGTCTGTCTCTCTCTCTCTCTCTTGTGTGTGTGTGTGTGTCCACAAGATAACTGATTAGGTGATGACCCATTTTCTTGTTCTCTCATCAATACCAAGGATATGTTAAGAATTTTGGCCACTTTCTATCACCCTTTCAGGAAAATGTAAATATATGTATATAACAATCTGGGATAGACCAGTAGTAAATGTTAATCCACGAGGTTCAAAGAAGAAGCCTTTACCATTCAATGGATTATTTAGGGATGATACTAATTTGTATTTTCTAAAGTTTTAATATGGGAGATTCTTTCTACAAAGATTTTACCTTTCCTCAGTATAAGTACAAATAATATAATGATTTAATTAGGGGTTCAATTGGAGAATATGAAGAACAACAGAAAAACATTGGTCAAATTGATATTGTATATCGTTGCCAAAAATCATTGGAGAAATTGGAGATTTTTTTTTGAAAAAAAAAAGATTAATTACTATTGCTGGCATACAGAAAGATTGTTTACTTGGGAGATAAATAAATTATATTATATCCTATTGGATGCCTATATATTTTTCACAAATAATACATTAACACAATTTAACAATAAATTATGAATTTATCCTGCCCCAAAAGAAGATGAAAACTGTCATTCTTATAGCATAAGCCCTGCCCATGTTAACGTTCAAGTTGACATATAACTTATTAATGAGAAGGAGGGAAGAATAATGGATTTGATGAACAATAGATATTGATAGCCACCAACCAAACCACTGGGTAATTCTTATATTCTTTGTCTATTTTAAATGGCACACAGAGCCATGTTGCCTGGCTGGAAATCTGAACAACTGATCTTTTGTTTTCTGGCATGCACATGCACACGACCAGCTGATTGTTGCCCATGCATGCGCACCAAAAACTGTAGGACCAACTGGCCGGTTGCATGCATGGGAAGTTCATTTCCCCACATATGCATGCCCCCTAGCAGCTCCTCTTCCGAGTTGTGTCCCCGACGAGTGCACAAGCACTCCCTTTTCGACACTCAGTGCCAAAAAGTTTTGCCATCACTGATATCTATATTATATCGCTTCTATTATATAATAATGTACAATATAACTAGAGTAGAATTTTATTATGTGTACTACACAGTTAGTGGTGTGTAAGACACTAGACTAGAGAGAGGTAAGCCTTATTTTAGACCTACATCATGAACCAAACGTAGCTTGATGTCTTGGGCTATTCATGCTCAATCCTAAAATGGAAAATTGAAAACAAACTATGATATATTCCTAAAAATAAAAGCTTGTATTCTTATTAACAATTGTATTAACTATATTTATTTAAAGATTGCATTGCTCATAATACTGGCTGTTAAATTTATGAATTTGATCAGCGACCTTAATAAAAATGTATTTATCTAAGCTTCTAATTGTTCAAGTTTTTTAAATGAATACATTTTTTTCTAATACGAGTGTCCATTCTTGCTATGAAACTGAATAATGAAATATATCATGATATTTAAGTGACAGTTTTCTACTTCAGGTTTGTATTGTAAATGTTTCGAACAAGTCAGAGATAAGGTTTATGCCAAAATATTTCAATGTCAAATGTCATGTTAGTATTTCCCTCACTCCACTCAGTGAATACATTTGTGTGTGCTTGTGTGTGTGTGTGTGTGTGTGTGTTTTAAAAGGTAGTTTCATATCAGCATATCTACAAGTCCATACAGGCAAATTAATTGTTGCTGTATCCTTATGTATAATAAGCTGCATAATCTCTCTCTCTCTCTCCCCCTCCCTCTCTCTTCCTCTCTCTTCCTCTTTCCCTCCCTCCCCCTTCCTCTCTCCCCACATTTCTTTTCCCTTCCTCTTTCTTGGGGAGGGGGAGGAGCCTGCCTTTCAAGAAATCCCTGTTATACTGGGGGAAAGAATCAATTTAAAATAGTGTAGTAATTCCTAACAATAGTATGTGCTTTTCTGACAAAACAAAAATATTGGTCTTTTTTTCTTTCTCCTGTAGATATTTACAATAAAATGAAACAGCCATTTCATGCAAGGAATAAGATTTCTGCATTCAAGTAATGACTTTTATTATAAAGCATAGACATGTCCTTGTAAGGTAGTATTAAGCATACAGTACTTTGTGGAATTAAGATGTTTAAGAGATTTCTATCACACATTTCCTTCTTTGAAATATTGTACCACAGAGGACCAAACATTTTCCCATATTAATGTCTAAGCATTAAGAGCTCACAAACTTTTAAGATAGAATAAAGTATAATGTTTTGATCAAATGGATCACTAATTATTCTTAGTTGCTGTTAATTGTTCCCTCTTCAGTAAATTTTCCCTGAGGACAGTTAATCGAAAATACATTAACCATAATGCCAAGTAAACTGGTACTAGATGGATAAATGAATCACTATATATAAAACATACATGTCTGGATCTATATTTTCAAATGTTATAAAAGATGTTTCAGGAGAAAAGAAAGATGAACCTAATTGGCCATTAAAGTTATATGGTGATGCACAATTCTCAAATTTCAAATACCGATAATGGATGAGGTATTTTTGTTTTGCTTTATTTTTTGCTACAGTACTGATCTGAATTAAATAAATGAAATACTGCTTTAATTTGTTCTAAGTTGTTTAGTTTAACCCTAATCGAATCAATGTAATAAGTCTTAGGGTAAGTAACATTAGAAGAATTGAATAGTGGTTCTTGGAATTAAGGAAGAAATATTTCCCTGTATAAATAAGTAAGTAATGACTACATGATACTTTACTTTTTTTCTTCCTAATTCTGTGATTTAAAAAATTAAGCCTGTGTAACTGATTTCTTTCAGAAACAGTTAGTTGAAACATATATCTTTGAACCTCAAGAGTGAAATCCTTAAAATAGAGCAAAAAAAAAAAAACAATAAACAAAAAACAGTAGGGCCATTTTGCTGTAAGTTTGAAAACTCAATACCAATGTTAAAAGACTGAAAATAATTGATTTTTTAAAAATAATGTAAACTACATCTTCAACTAATGTACCAATATTTATTCTCCTTTCATATTTCATGATGTATTTTCATGATGCATTTATTTTGTATTCATTTATTCTACCTTTGCTCAAAATATTCTGAAACTTCAAACATTTTCCTAATGCATTGTTAATTACATGTTTATATTGTGCAGATAAAAATATTATAGAAGGCCATAGATAGATAGATAGATAGATAGATAGATAGATAGATAGATAGATAGATAGATAGATAGATAGATAGATAGATAGATAGATAGATAGATAGATAGATAGATAGATAGATAGAATTGTTATATAGATATATTTTGCTGGGAATCTTAAAAAGAAATTTCCAGCTATCTTGTTTAAAACAACTATAGTTTCTTTACTGTACTCTCTGCATTGGAATTAATGGAAATGAGTTATTATAAATTTGTAAGAGCAAGCACTTTTAAAAGATTTGCAACATTTATGAATGCTACAATAATGGAATTAGTAGCCTTGATGAAATATGAGTTAGACTTCTGTAGATGTTTCTTATTTTCATTATCACATATTTTGAAATCAAAGAAAAAAAATTCAATATAGGTTGTTGGTTTGAACTTTGAGCTTAGCAATTTGGTTGCAAACTTTTCATCACCATTCAAGGAGACATTATAAGTGCATTATGAATTGTTCAAATTCAAAATACAAATTCAAAATGTAGCTGACAATGTTTTCTCGAATGATGATGAAATGTTTGCAACCAAATCACCAAGCTCAGAACTCAAACTAACAGTCTAATTATCAACCTGAATTATTAATATTCAAATACAATTTAAAATGTCTATATATCTGTTATTTTATTTTCCCAGGGAAAATTTATTACAGAATTCATAAATCAGACTTACAACATTGAATTCATTCTTCTGGGATTTGGAAACCATCAGATATTACATATTCCTCTCTATCTGCTCTTCTTCCTCATCTATATAGGGACCATGGCTGGAAACCTACTTATTATTCTATTGGTTGTTCTTGATCAACACCTCCACACTCCCATGTATATCTTCCTTGGAAATCTGTCATGTTTGGAGTCCTGCTGCAGCACAAATATCTTACCACGAATGTTATCCAGCTTCCTTACTGGAAGCAACATGATTTCACTTAGGGCCTGCTTTGTACAACATTATTTCTTTGGTTCTTTGGGAGCTGTGGAGTGTTATCTGTTATCTGCCATGTCCTATGATCGTTATATAGCTATATGCAAACCACTCCATTATGTTATCATGATGAATGATAGGATGTGTTTCAGACTGATAGCCTTCTCTTGGATGAGTGGCTTTCTGGCAACTTCAGTAACACAGTTTATCATGTCCCAATCAGTTTTTTGTGATAATAAAATAGATCATTTCTTTCCAATCGTAGACACCTTTCCAATCGTAGACCTGTTTTGTGGTGATACTCATGCCTTCAAAATGTTTCTTTATGTGTTATGCTCAATATTTACTTTTCCACCATCTGTATTAACCCTAACTTCTTATACTTTTATTGTTGTAGCCGTAATGAGAATGCCTTCTACTCTAGGGAAACAGAAGGCATTTTCTACTTGTTCTTCTCATCTCTTGGTAGTGACTATTTTTTATGGCATACTGATGAGTATTTATGTAGTACCAAATGGCAATAAACTGAATGGACTTCGCAAAGTCTTATCTCTTTTTTATACTATCTTGACTCCAATGCTCAATCCTATTATCTATACACTGAGAAATAAAGAGGTGAAAAATGCTTTGAGGAGGTTGTGTTATATTTTTGTTCACATTTCAAGAAACTATTTTTTTAAAAAAGCATAAGCATATTTTATAACAGAAAGTTCAATTGTTGAAATACAATATGTTTAAGATGTTTGATAGGCATGCATTTATTAAATTACTGTTCACTTTAAATACTCTTTGTAAATGTCTGTTTTCATCAGAAAAATAAATGATTATATGTGTGTTAAAATGATTGTATGTATGTATGCATGTATGTATGTATGTATGTATGTATGTATGTAGGTAGGTATACACACACACACACACACACACACACACACACACACAGGTTATGTGGAAAAATTATAAGGAATGCACTTTACATTTTGGCATTAATATTATCTTCCAAACCTAATTGACTAATATGGCTTTGCCAAGCATCCAAAAAAGTTTGGTATAATATTTTCTTACCAAATAAATAATCATAAGGTTTGGTGAATTGCAGCTCATGATCAAATATCAAAGATAACAAAATATTTATGCTTTTAATGATATTGATTAGTTGGAAGAAAAAATATATCATGTTACTTTTGATTTGGAGCTATAGATTAATACATCTTTCATCCTACAATCTGTTTGTTTGTGTGTATGTGTATAGTTGCTTTGAATCACTGTTGACTGTTTGTTGAGTCATATGTTTCTGCAGCTTTCTTGGCAAGATTCAGAATGATTCACCACTGCCTCCTTCCTAGGATGAGGAGAGAGATTGACTAGCCCAAAGACCCATATGGCAGAAGTAAAACTTTTATAGCCTCCTGGTTTGTAGCCTTGTGGCTTAACCACTAAACCAGCCAGCCTCTCACAATGATATTATTTAGGAAATTTTATTTCTTAAAAACCTTTAGATAACTTACTTGATGAATAGAGATGAATCAATCTTTTAAATTTTGAAAACTGTAAAATGACTTATATTTTTAAATGTCAATTTGTTGGGATATTAACCATCTTTGCAATCTAGATTAAAGTAATTAAACATCCACATAGGGATCCCAGAATTGTTTGAGCATGACATGAGAGAAGAGCTCTAGCTAGAATTCTCAGTAGAATGATCCCAAATTCCTCAAGAAAGTAGGCAAAATATTATGGACATATTCACTACATGGCAGAACTATAGCCAGTTTTTTGTGACCTATTTATTCTCTTGGAGATCATAAAAAAACTCAGATGCCATGGACTGATATATGTATGCTGAAATGTATGGCTCAGGCTCTGCTAAATATACTTGGACTGAAAAGGAAAGTTGTTATGAAAAAGAAAATGATTATTGTTTTATGGGTATACAATGTACAATAAACAGCCCATTTCAGAAAAAAGAAAAGTTTATTTGGTGATTCTTATCTCCCTACTAACTGTTTGTATTTGAATCTGTACCAAATGGATTTTGGTACGTTTCAGCAAATATCATGTTAAAAGTTGACTTGATTATTATCAGGTTGGCATTCAAGGGAGGATTCCATGCATACCTTTGGCCAGAGTTGGATCTCATATTTCTACAACCTAGTTTGTGAATATGATGTATGACGCATGAAAGAAGGGAGGAGATAGATGAGTAAAATTCAAACACAATTAAGCAAAAGCCAGTTTAGGCTCCACAGAAGATCAAGCCAAGATGTTGATCCTAATAAATGAATGGTTTTTTTGTTTGAAATTTGTTTCGAGGCTCGTAAATTAATTAGGTCATCTTTTGGGAACTTCACAGAGAGCCTAAACTGACTGAAGTGCTTCCAACATTTCTCATTTCTCCTCTGAAAGAGAATGGATTTATTTTTTTTTCTTCTGCTTTTTGTTGCTTTATTTTTTTTGACTTCTGGATTAAAACCTTCCTTTTTATTTTAACAATTCTTCCTATTACTTGTTATTAAATTTCATTAAAAGAAATCTAAAGAACTTTNAGATAGATAGATAGATAGATAGATAGATAGATAGATAGATAGATAGATAGATAGATAGATAGATAGATAGAATTGTTATATAGATATATTTTGCTGGGAATCTTAAAAAGAAATTTCCAGCTATCTTGTTTAAAACAACTATAGTTTCTTTACTGTACTCTCTGCATTGGAATTAATGGAAATGAGTTATTATAAATTTGTAAGAGCAAGCACTTTTAAAAGATTTGCAACATTTATGAATGCTACAATAATGGAATTAGTAGCCTTGATGAAATATGAGTTAGACTTCTGTAGATGTTTCTTATTTTCATTATCACATATTTTGAAATCAAAGAAAAAAAATTCAATATAGGTTGTTGGTTTGAACTTTGAGCTTAGCAATTTGGTTGCAAACTTTTCATCACCATTCAAGGAGACATTATAAGTGCATTATGAATTGTTCAAATTCAAAATACAAATTCAAAATGTAGCTGACAATGTTTTCTCGAATGATGATGAAATGTTTGCAACCAAATCACCAAGCTCAGAACTCAAACTAACAGTCTAATTATCAACCTGAATTATTAATATTCAAATACAATTTAAAATGTCTATATATCTGTTATTTTATTTTCCCAGGGAAAATTTATTACAGAATTCATAAATCAGACTTACAACATTGAATTCATTCTTCTGGGATTTGGAAACCATCAGATATTACATATTCCTCTCTATCTGCTCTTCTTCCTCATCTATATAGGGACCATGGCTGGAAACCTACTTATTATTCTATTGGTTGTTCTTGATCAACACCTCCACACTCCCATGTATATCTTCCTTGGAAATCTGTCATGTTTGGAGTCCTGCTGCAGCACAAATATCTTACCACGAATGTTATCCAGCTTCCTTACTGGAAGCAACATGATTTCACTTAGGGCCTGCTTTGTACAACATTATTTCTTTGGTTCTTTGGGAGCTGTGGAGTGTTATCTGTTATCTGCCATGTCCTATGATCGTTATATAGCTATATGCAAACCACTCCATTATGTTATCATGATGAATGATAGGATGTGTTTCAGACTGATAGCCTTCTCTTGGATGAGTGGCTTTCTGGCAACTTCAGTAACACAGTTTATCATGTCCCAATCAGTTTTTTGTGATAATAAAATAGATCATTTCTTTCCAATCGTAGACACCTTTCCAATCGTAGACCTGTTTTGTGGTGATACTCATGCCTTCAAAATGTTTCTTTATGTGTTATGCTCAATATTTACTTTTCCACCATCTGTATTAACCCTAACTTCTTATACTTTTATTGTTGTAGCCGTAATGAGAATGCCTTCTACTCTAGGGAAACAGAAGGCATTTTCTACTTGTTCTTCTCATCTCTTGGTAGTGACTATTTTTTATGGCATACTGATGAGTATTTATGTAGTACCAAATGGCAATAAACTGAATGGACTTCGCAAAGTCTTATCTCTTTTTTATACTATCTTGACTCCAATGCTCAATCCTATTATCTATACACTGAGAAATAAAGAGGTGAAAAATGCTTTGAGGAGGTTGTGTTATATTTTTGTTCACATTTCAAGAAACTATTTTTTTAAAAAAGCATAAGCATATTTTATAACAGAAAGTTCAATTGTTGAAATACAATATGTTTAAGATGTTTGATAGGCATGCATTTATTAAATTACTGTTCACTTTAAATACTCTTTGTAAATGTCTGTTTTCATCAGAAAAATAAATGATTATATGTGTGTTAAAATNTCTGCCAGTTCCTTCAGAACCCTGGGGTGTAATCCATCTGGTCCTGGTGATTTGAACACATGTAGAGTAGACAGGTGCTCACTTACCATTTTCTTCGCTATTTCAACTTGTGTTCCTAATCTGATTTTTGTAGTGCTGTTCTTGATAGGTTGGACTGTTTTACCCCTTTGTGTACAGACAGATGCAAAAAAAATGAGTTAAATACTGTATTTTGGAGTATAAGATGAACCAAGGTTTTGAAGAGGCAAATTTTTTTTAAAAAGTATATAGGTAGATAGAGAGATAGAGAGGAAGAGAAAGAGAGAGAAATACAGTAGGTAGATAGGGAGAGAGAGTAGTTAGGTAGGTAGATAAAGGGAAAGAGAGGGAGAGAAATAGAGCGAGATAGAGAAATACAGTTGGTGGGGAGAGAAAGAGTAGTAGGTAGGTAGGTAGAGGGATAGAGAGAAATAGAAAGAGACAGAAATGGAGTAGATAGATAGGCAGAGAGTAGGTAGGTTGGTAGGTAGGTAGAGGGATAGAGAGAGAGAAAGAAAGAGAGAGAGAAATACAGTAGGTAGGTAGGGAGCAAGAGATAAATAGAGATAGAGAAATACAGTAGGTAGGAAGAGAGAGAGAGTAGGTAGTTTGGTAGGTAAAGGGGGAGAGAGATATATACAGTAGATAAGTAGGGACAGAGAGTAGGTAGATAGGTATGTAAATAGATAGAGGAGGAGAGAGAGAAATACACTAGGTAGGTAGGGAGAGGGATAGAGAGAGAGAAATAGAGAGAGAGAGAAATACAGTAGATTGGTAGGGAGAGAGAGAGTAGGTAGGTCGGTAAGTAGAGGGATAGAGAGAAATAGAGAGAAAAATGCAGTAGGTAGTAGGAGGAGAAAGAGAAAGTAGGTAGATAGGTAGATGTTTCCAGGTGTATTTATCCATGTGCTGGAGAAGGAAATTGTTGGAGCACATAAGACTTTGTTTCTGCTAGCACTTGAGCAATGTAATTCTCATCAGTTAGTTAAAGTGCTTTCCAAAAGGGGGGGGAACCCTTTTTGCACTCTGCAAACCTCCCCAAACTGCCAATTTTTCATGAAAACAGGCCCATGTTTTTCAAATAAAAGGCACGAATAGCCTGGGGGGGGGTGCAGAGTGCTCCTGAGGTGTGGGGGAGACAAAAACTAGCAAAAAATGGCCCATTTTTCATGAAAACAGACTCATTTTNAATATATACATGCTATGGTATTGGCAAATGTAACTTGGATATAAATTCAAAACAGTGAGTTGGGGGGAAAGTGGGGAAAAGGTTTAGAAACTTTATTAATTGACTTTTACTTAAAATATGTTATATAGGTGTAATGTTATTGGATGATTTTTTTAAATAGTTAATGAATGCCATTATACTGTTGTGACTTTAAATATGAATGATTTGAGATAAAAGCAGGTTCAAATAATTGTAGTCAAATGAAAATTGTGGTACATTGATAGTAACATATACAAAGATTTTTGATTTAAAGTGTATAATCTAATATGAAAATGCATGAAAGTTATCTGTAACCAATCGACACGTTTTCTACAAGATGTAATGAAGGATGATTCTTTTTTGTGTTTTTGTTCAATTAAAATAAAATAAAAACTTTTTTTAAAAAAAAGTCGATAGTGGGCTGTGCACCAACAACATGAGAAAGCCACCAGACCCAAAAGAGAGAGGACAATGTCACCTGAAATGAGCCAGCCAACGGGGAACCACAGTATCACAGCAGGCACTGAGACCAGCCCTCCCTCAAATCTACTGAAATGGTACAGATGTGGGGGGATGGGCTAATGGCAGCTGAAAGCCCAACCCCAGCCCCCAAACCAAGGCCAAACCTACTGACCAGAGCATTACCAGAACGAGGGCCCAAATGGACCACCAGCATATCCAGGAAAGCCCACCAGGCTGCAGAGGCCTCTTCCCCCTCAGGCAAAAGTGGTGGAACCCCAGGCCACCACAACCAGTCGCCAATCATATCACAGTGAGAACAAGTGAGAAAATGACCCAATGGTGAGTGAATCAATTTACCCTTTCCTTTTTCCAATGCATCTCACAGCCCCAAACACAGGAAACCAGGGGGGATTTTCAAGTCCTGATAGATTCAGGCTGGATAAGGTGCTTGATCAACCTAACCACAGTCCTGAAACTGGGGATCAGAGCAAAAAGACTGGCCTCAGTACAAATGAGAACAGGAGCACATAGTGGATGCCATCATTCCCTCTACTCAAACAGCTGCCCAAGTAACCACCAGGCAGCAACGCCATGATCAGCAAGACCAACCAGCAAGCAACCTAACCATGAGACTCAAAACTGAACTGCTAACCGACTCCTGGTTCCAAAACAACCAATATATCTTGATGAAAAGAGATGAATTTGCATGGAAGTGGATGAAACGCTACATCCCAGAATCCCTATGTACCCTAGTTCTCCAGAGGAGTCACAATGCCAAACCGGCAAGCCACTTTGGGTTCCTGAAGACTTTACACTTAGCCTGGAGGCAATTCTGGTGGCCTGGCATGAAGAAAAATGTGGATAGTTAGTTGAAAAGTTGCACCATCTGCACCACAATGAAGAGACCACCGGGAAAAGCCCCTGGAGTCTTCAAACAGTAGCAGAGCCAACAAGGCGATGGGAGGAGATTGCAATGGACTTTATAGTAGGGTTGCCAAAAAGTGCGGGAAACACGTTGATTTGGACTGTAATAGATCTGTTCTCCAAACAGGCACACTTCATACTCTGTAGTGGAATACCTTTAGCTCAAAAGCTGGCTAAACTGTTTATGAAGCATATCTACCGACTGCATGGAGTACCTCGGAGAATTATCTCAGCTAGAGTGGTCCAGTTCATGGCTAAGTTCTAGAGGGAGTTCCTGTGATCCATTGGGTCATCTCAGGGTCTTAGTTCAGCTTTTCATCTGAGCACTAATGGGGCAGCAGAGAGACTGAATGCCATGATAGAGTACTACTTGACGTGCTACATGAACTATCTGAAGTACAATTGAGCAGACCTTTTATCTTCTGCTGAGGTCATGTACAATAATGTTGTTCACAGTAGCAAAGGACTCATGCTGTTCAAAGTAGTGAGTGGCATGGACTTTGTCCCAATGCCTGAGTATCCAAGAGACTCCCTCCCACCTCAGTCAGCTTGACTGATTGGGTCAATGCTGAAAGCAACTTGGAAAAATGTCAAAAATGCACTGGCTAAAGCGGCATGAACCTATAAAATACAAGCAGATAAATATCAGGCTCTGCAATGGCCATTCCTGGTGGGAGAGAAGGTTTACCTCTCCACAAAATATTTGAGATTAAAACTGCCTAGCAAGAAACTGGGGCCAAAGTTTATGGGATCATTCCCCATCATCAACCCAGTCCCAGTGCAATTGAAACTGCCTTGGCGTTTCATAGTAGTCTCTTAAAACCGGTGATTGGATCTACTTTGCGACCACTACGCAGGGAGCACCCGGGCCCTATGGTCAAAGGGGGCCAAACCCATTGTGAAGTTCAACAAATCCTTGATTCGAGGTGGCACAGGAGACAACTCCAATACTTAATCAAGTGGAAGGGCTACCCCTTATCAGAGGCATCTTGGGTAAAAAGTAGGAATATCCAGGCTGATCGCCTTATACCAAAATTCCATGTAGAAAATCCAGGCAAGCCTGGGGGAGGAACACACCCCTAAATTATATACCTGTACTCAAATTGTCTTTGTGTCACACAGGTCACTTTTGGAAATGAGGGGAGCAGTATGTCAATTTATAAAACGTTGTGATGACTATTATCAGGTTGGCATTAGAGGGAGGATTCCATGCATACCTTTGGCCAGAGTTGGATTTCATATTTCTACAACCTATTTCATGAATATGATATATGATGCAGGACAGAAGGGAGAAGATAGAGGAAGATAGAGGAATAAAGTTCAAACGCAATTAAGCGAAAGCCAGTTTAGGCTCCACAGAAGATCAAGCCAAGATGTTGATCCTAATAAATGAATATTTTTGTTTGAACTTTGTCTCGAGGCTCGTAAATTAATTAGGTCATCTCTTCACAGAGAGGCTAAGTTGACTTTTAAAAATCTATCAAGATTTTGGAACTCAGCAACCTAAAGCAGAGGGGCTGTCCCAAAGAAAAAGATCTATTTACCTATTTAAATTATCTCCCTAAGACCTATCAGATCCCACAGATTAGGCCTCCTCCGAATTCCATCTGCCAGCCAGTGCCAACTGGCAACTCCCCGGGGGAGGGCCTTCTCTGTGGCTGCTCCAGCCCTCTGGAACAATCTCCCCATGGAGATCTGGACCCTCACCA